AACATTCCGAGCCCGAAATGGTTTTAATTCCTAAAAGCCTAGTAATTGTTCTTGAGCCCAAATATATGTGTAACCTATGAGTGAGTAATTTTGGACCCATCAACTACACCAAGCCCTTAATATATATATATATATATATATATATATATATATATGTATGTATGTGATATATTGTAAGTCAAAAATATGAAGCCCAAGGTATACAATCCATCCTCCTAAATTTGTATATAAAGCCTAAGACTAACCCAACCCAAAATAGAAGCCTACCCTAAATAGCAACTTACCTATCTACATCTATAATATTATTACATCTATAATGTTATTCACCTCTGTACGTAGATAGCAGCAATGCAGCAGCTCCCTTCACTCCTCTTCTCCTCAGCCAAAGGGTTTAACCAGTAGACAACCCCCACCTCCCTCTTGTGTCTTTCTCTCTTTCTTGTTCAGTTTCCAATTCATGGCGGCGAGAACCTCACCCCTAAGCCTTCTCATCCTCCTTCATCCCTCTTCCCGTCAGTGACCATGGCAGCAGCAGCTAGGTGGCAGTCCGGTAGAACGCCTGTGTCTACGACCCTCTTCAATGAATCTACGACGAAGTAGGAGTAGCAGTGGCCATGGTTGAAGCTCAACGTAGCGACCGCGGTCTACGCAGCATTCAGGCAGCAGCGGCGTACTCTAGCAGCTTCCCGGCGACCTTCGTTTCCCTGGTGAAACAGAACAGCAGCATCTCTAGCGAGCTCGGTTGTGGGTTGACTTACAGTGAAGGCAGATCATGTGGCAAAGGCAAGTCCTCGGGCGAAGCTTCGGGCCGTGAAGTTTGGGCTTGGAGGGTAGTCGTGGTGCAGCTTGGCAGGGTGTGGTGCCGGTGGGTGGTGGAAGTTCCCGTGGTTCCACCCGCGGCATCCGGCTGTTGGCAGAGCGAAGGAGAAGAGAGGTGAGTTGTGCTTTGTTGTCTTGGTTGTTTAGGTTAGGTGTTAAGTTAGTTTTGTTAATTAGAGTAATTGAGTGAGGCTTTAGCTTAGATGGTAAGGTGTGTGTTTAGTGTTGTAAGTTGCTAAGGTTTGAATCCCCCTTTAACTTTTTTAATTAATATAGTTTTATAAGTATGTGTGTTAGCCTAATTAGTTATTTAATAGATTTATGATGCTTAAGTTACCCCTAGAGATGCTTAGCTTAGTTAGTTAAGCTTATTTTTAATCCTAAGATAGGTTAGGGTTCAAATCCCCTTAGTTGCTATTAATGTCTTAATTAGTGAAGATTCGGTTAATCCACAGGTTCCTGGTAGATTGGTTTATGAGTTGAGCCTATGTTGGCGTTGTTTTTGGATGGTTAAGCGAAGGAGGTAACCCATGCTATACAAAACCTATTTTCTTACCTAAATGATGATTATTGGTTTCTATTTGATGTTCTTGATGTGATTTGTGAGATTTGATGCATGATCTTGTGATGATGCATGTTTAGAGCTAGTTTTTAGGTTTCTTGTATGCCATTGCATGGCTATTTCTTAGGTTCAAGTCATATCTTTGTTGTGTGTGAGATTTTGGGTGTTTTGGACTTGAACTTGACCTTGATGATGAAAATCCCCGAAGGGAAATTGTGTACATGCATTGTACCCCGCGGGCGGAACGACGGGAAGTGGCCTACCCGCCGCTCCACCCGCGGGGAATGTGGTAATTCGGGGAGTGTACCCCGCGGGCAAGCCCACGGGTGGGGGCCTACCCGTGGCTCCACCCACGGGGAACATGTGATGCGAGTGCGGGGATTCATTCCCCATGATTCTTTTCTTCTTGGTGTTAATGTTTTGACCTCCCGTTGCTTGATTATTGAGCTTTTGTGAGTCTTCTTGACGTTTCGTATGTCTAGAACGATGTGTTAGGAATCCATGTTCGGATTTGGTGTCTTGAATCGTGCTAAGGGTCCAACTTTGTGATTCGTTGGGCTAATATGAGTCTTGAAGGTTCGTTGGAACCCTTTTGGTTTATCCTTTTGATGAGCATGCTAGTTTGATGTTGATATGCTAGTATGTACGGTTTGTTCCTTCTTGCTGTGGGTTGGCAACTCGCGTTGTCAATCATTTGATGTTGGATTGTAGTCCTTGTTGTTGAGTATTGTCTCATGACTTTGTTGAAATCCCTTGATTCATTCTTATGGTGTATTCTTGTACAAATCGTTGTACCTTTTTTTGATACTTGATTGGGGCTATTGATGAGCATTAGTCTTCTTGATGATGATGACTATGTGTGACTATGAATGAGATTGGTGGTTTTGTGACTTGAGCTTTGCTCACATGAGATCGGTGGTATGTGACTATGAATTGAATAGTACCATCGTGTACTTGAGATCAGTGGTATTCTGATTGGTGGTGTAGATTAGTGGCGGACGACGGTCCCAGACGGGGAAAAGGTTGGACTCAGAAGTACAAGGTGGCACTTGGAGGTACAGGTTGGAACTGTGATAAAGCCGGGGGTAGCCATAAGGGTGGTACTAATGTATATGGTTGGAACTTGAAACATGAATGTGTCATTATGTGATTGTGTGATTCCCTTGCTTATGAGCATGTGTTGGATGAACTCTACCTTGTGAATGGTAGGTTGCATCTAGAGTTATGTTGTACTTTGTTGTTGTGGTTTGTTGTCTTGTTGAGGTTGATGATCCTCGTTCTTATTGAGAGTGTGATGAGTCTTTGATGTTAATCTTCTTCTGGTTTTGAAAGGACTATATATTGTATTCTTCAGTTCCAAATGGCTTTGATTATATCTATCTATACTATGCTATTTAACGCGTATTGATGGGTTACCAGCATTATTCGCTGACCGGATATTATTCCTATGTTTTACAGGTCTTGAGTAGATGACGAGCACGCTAGATGTGGACTTTAGATAGTGTAGCTCCTGTGTTTTGACATTTATCTTTTGTTGGCCTGTGTGCCTAGACTGATGTTTTGTCTTGATGATTGTGATAGATTTAGCCTGTGCACCCATAGTTTTATGGGTGTGGCATAACACCTTTCCCGGTTTTAGTAGCTTCCGCTTTTGATTGCTTTAATGATTAGTTGTTTATCTTTGAATTTAAGTTTTAAAATGTTGGTAAAAATCGGGGGTGTTAGGCACAGATTCAGACTAGATAGCACGGAAAACACATAATTAAACACAAAGACGATCATGACAATTATACCATTAAGGCAAAGAAAATACAAAATAATGGAGAGAGTTGCTTGTTGTTTGCTTGTGGTGATGGAGCTGGTGGCCGGCGCGGTAGCACAGAGCGCCGCTAACGTGAGAGCAACGTACAATTATTACAACCCTTAAAATATTAACTGGGATTATACGGCGGCGGGTGTTTTCTGCGCCACCTGGGATGCCAACAGGCCACTTGCGTGGAGGCAAAAGTATGGGTGGACTGCTTTCTGTGGTCCGGTCGGACCAGTACGACAAGCTTCATGTGCCAGATGTTTGAGGGTATGTTATATATTAATGATGGAATTAATTTTATGATGTTGTGTGTACTTCACAAAGTTATATTATTTGTAAAAAGTATATAAAAGCAAAATACAACTTTAATTTGCAAAGCATCAAATAAGTGAGAGCGGGGTAACCTAGACCCAGCCAAAATGACAAGAGATCCACACTTGTAACAACAAGGCGAGGTTTGCCTACACTCAAAAGGGTCATGAGGTTTCCCCCGTCATTTATATATGCGGGAGCGACCTATTGACCTTTTTGGTTTGAATCCGTCAGTTAGGCGGCTGGTTTTATTTCTTTGTGGTAGTAGGCGGCTCATTTGTTTCCCCTTCTATTCAATTGGTGATGGAGGAGGATATGCATAGGGAGTATTACTTTATATTGGAATATTTAGCATTTTATGATATATGCATATACCACTTCATACTCAATTAATACGCAAAATATAACTCTAAATAAATCAATTCTATCTAAAAACATAATAAATGTGAATGAAGGTTATACCCTTTATTTATGTCCGTTTTTTCCGTTAATTTTTTTATTTATATACATTATGCTATAAAAATTGTACTTTACAATATTTTGGACAAAAATACCCCTACCGTTATAACTTCCACTATCTTTTTCACTATTGTTACCATACACATGCATCCACCATATATTTTCTTATCTTATTCAATAATAATAATAATATATACACATTATATATTGGAGTTATATGTTAATTATTACCTAAAATTAAATATCAAATTTATTAAAATAGTTTACATTATTATTATTATTATTATTATTATTATTATTATTATTTACAATATTTTAAATATCTACAATCTAAATAAATTTAAAATTTTAGTATAAAGTACTAATATTGGGCACCGATTATTTTGCGCATCGCGCACAAAAAAAATACTAGTACAAAATATATATATTTGTTGACTCAAAGTAGTTTGTCAAAGTTATGTGCAAAAAGGAATTCCAGCTCTATAAAGGATTTCCAGACCAAAAGGAATAGTTATTGAAGGATACTAATTTCAAAGGGAATTAGATTTTCAAGTTCTAGTTTCAAAGGGATTACGATGTGAATATAGATTGTGTTGTATTCAATCAATAATGTCTGAGGGTACAGAGAGCGAATATATATGTACTAGATAGAGTCCTATTCTAACACGAATAATTTAGTCCTAGTCTAATATGAATAATATAGTCCTAATACTCCCCCTCAAGCACAAGGTTGGCTAGCCAAAACATTGAGCTTGTGACGGAGTAAATTAAAATGTAAAGAAGACAGAGGTTTAGTAAATATATCAGCTATCTGATCTTTGGTTGAGATAAAGTTGACTTGCATCTCCTTCTTGGCTACTTTATCGGGAACAAAGTGATAGTCGATCTCAATGTGCTTCGTGCGAGCATGAAAAACAGGATTAACACATAAATAAGTGGCCCCTAGGTTGTCACACCACAACTTTGACGCAAATCTGGGTGGAAAACCGATTTCCTGCATCAAAGAAACAAGCCAGGTGACTTCCGCAAAGACATCAGCTAGCCCTTATATTTGGCTTCGGTCGAGGAACGAGCTATAGTCTGTTGCTTGCGACACACCCAAGATATAAGATTCTTTCCAAGAAAGACAACGAAGCCGCTAGTGGACTTCCTATCGTCCGGATTACCAGCCCAATCTGAGTCAAAAAAAGCATGAATATCAAGAGAGTCAGAACAAGATATGTGAAGACCAAGATTGAGAGAACCATTGATATAGCGCAGGTCCCTTTTCAAGGCTGCCCAATTTGTAGTGGTAGGAGCATGCATATGCTGACACAGACGATTGACGGCATAGGACAGATCAGGACGAGTGACCATAAGATACTGTAGGGCCCCTGCAAGGCTGCGATAATGAGTCGGATCTGCGTATGGAACCATAGGGCTGTCCACGAGTTTGGTAAGTGAAACCGGCGTGGCCACCGGTTTGCAGTTAACCATACTGCTCGTTTGAGAATGTCTTTCACGTAACGCTGCTGAGATAAAAGCATGCCACTAGATGATTGAATTGTTTCAATTCCTAAAAAAAAAAGACGGAACCCCCATATCACGGACTTTAAATTCAAGAGCCAGCTTACTGACCAGTGTAGCAACACGATCCGTATCAGAACCCATAATTAAAATATCATCCACATAGACAAGAAAATATAGCCGAATATTGTCACGTGAGTAAATAAATAAAGAAACATCTGTTTTAGAAGGCGAGAAACCCAAAAAACTTAGATAATTATGCAGTCGCGTGAACCAGGCACGAGGTGTGTGACACCCCGTATTTTCCTAAAATAATTATCGTCCCGGCATTCAATATTTTACTAGAAATATTTATATATGCCTAATTATTTGTAAAACGGGCTCGGGTCTATTTATTATATGAATTATTATTTTGTACCCAAATGCCTTAAGCCCAAAATATAACTATTTATTATGAGTCTTGCACCCAATAGCCAATCCTATGAGTGTATATGAAAATATATGAGTGATATGTTGTGAGTCCAAAATGTCTAGTCCAACCCAATACCCTAATCCAATCTAGCCTAAGCCCAACCTAATAATAATAACCCTATCGATAGCGTATATGTTGGAGTTTAGCTTTCCTTCTCCAGATATAGAAACCAATCATCCCCTCCGTCTCTTTTTGCTTCTTTGACTCATCATTTGCGTAGCATATCGTTTAGGCCTCAACCTCAGTTTTCCCATCTCCATCTCTCGACTTCCTTCCCTTCCTCCTTCGCCATTGCAGCCTAGCAGCAACAACGAGAGAGCATTCGTTGACGCAGTGGAGCTTCAGACTGGTTTGGCGGGCAACATCTAGTCTCTGGGGAAATAGCTGCGACGTCAAGCTTCAACGACCTCTGTTTCTGGCAAGACTGATCAGCCCCGGTGAGCCCCTCTTCTCCATTCTCGATTTTCCGGTGATCGGAGCGGCGATAGTCCAGTAGGGGCAGTGGGTTCTTTTGTTGAAGGCGAGCTGTTGGCGGTAACTTAGCTTGGTTCTCTGGCAGCTTGGACAGTGGTGGCGTTGGTCGGCTATCCGGCGAGCAGCAGGTTGGCGGGTGGTGGTTCTCACCGCGGTTCCACCCGCTGCCTACGGACAGCATGAAGAACAGAGGAAGAAGATGGTGAGTCCTTGTTAATGGTTCTTGTTGTTGCTTAGTGTTTAATATTTTTATTGTGCTTAGGTAATTGAAGGTTGGTTAGCTTAGTTGGTTAAACATGTGTTTAGTATAAATAGGTCTAGGGTTTAATTCCGTTGTTAGCTAATAATTAAGTTTTAATTAATAAGTTTTCTTTGAGCTTGGTTATTAGCTTAATTATTAGTTTTGTTGCCTAGGTTTACAATAGGATGCTTAGGCTAGATGGTTAAGGTTGTGGTTAACTCAAATCCATGAAGGGATTTGGGTTAGTTTAAATAGTTGTTACCATTTTATTAATTAGTGAAGTTCCGATTTGATTCGCAGGTTTCCCTTTTGATAGATTGGCTTATGAGTTGAGCCTAGCCTAAAATTGGCGTTGGTTTGGATAGTTAAGCGAAAAAGGTAACCCATGCCATACAAAACCTATTTTCTTACTTAAATGATGATTCTTGGCTTCTACTTGTTGTTCTTGTGATGATTTGTGAGATTTGATGCATGATCTTGTGGTGATGCATGTTTAGAGCTTGTTTTTAGGTTTCGTAAATGCCATTCCTTGGCTATTTCTTGGGTTCAAGTCATATCTTTGTTGTGTGTGAGATTTTGGGTGTTTCGGACTTGAACTTGACCTTGGTGATGAAAATCCCCGAAGGGATTTTGGTGTACAGGAATGTACCCCGCGTGCGGAACGGCGGGCAGTGGCCTACCCGCCGCCCCACCCATAGGGAACGTGTGGCTGGTAGGTTGTACCCCGCTGGCAGACCCACGGGTGGGGGCCTACCCGTGGCCCCACCCGCGGGGAACACTTGTGGATGTGTGCGGGGATTTGTTCCCCGTGATTCTTTCTTCCTGGTATTGATGTTTTGACCTCCCGTTGTTGATTTATTGGGCTATTTGTGAGTCTTCTTGATGTGTCGTATGTCTAGAACGGTGTGTTAGGAATCCATGTAGGATTTGGTGTATTGAATCGTGCTAAGGGTCCAACTTTGTGATTCGTTGGGCTAATGTGAGTCTTGAATGTTATTTGAAACTAATTATGTTTACCCATTTGATAAGCATGCTAGTTTGATGCTGATATGCTAGTATGTGTGGTTCGGTCCTTCTTATTGGGATTGGCAACTTGTGTTGACAATCATTTGGTGTTGGATTGTAATCCTTTGTTGATGAGTATGGTCTCATGTCTTTGTTGTGATCTCTTGATTGATTCCTATCGTGTGATCGTATGCAAATCATTGTACCCTTTGTTGATACTTGAATGTGGCTATTGTTTAGCCTTAGTTTTCTTGATAATGAAGATGACTATGTGTGACTATGATTGAGATTGGTGGTTTTGTTACTTGAGCTTTTCTCACGAGATCGGCAGTTTTGTGATTATAATATTTAATGGTACCCTCGTGTACTGAGAGATCGGTGGTGATGTTTAGCGGTGTAGGTGGTGGGACGACGGTCCCCAGAGGTAAAAGGTTGGACTCAGAAGTACAGGGTGGCACTAGGAGGTAACGGTTGGAACTGTGATAAGGCCGGGGGTAGCCATAAGGTTGGAATAGGGCATAAGGTTGGAAGTTGAAAGTTAAAAGTTGGTACTTGGTACCATGAATCTTATGACATGATTATGTCATTGTGTTATTGTATGATTACCTTGCTTATGAGCATGTCTTGATGTACTCTACCTTGTGAATGGTAGATTGCATCCTGAGTTGTGTTGTCTATTATGTTTGTGGTTTTGTTGTTGTTGATCCTCGTTCTTATTGAGAGTGTAATGGTCTTTGATGTTGACACCCTTCCTCGGTTTTAAAATGATATATATGGTATTCCTCAGTTTCAAATGAGTTTGATTATACTTATCTATACTATGCTATTTAACGCGTATTGATGATTTACCAGCATTATTCGCTGACTAGGTGTTATCCGCATGTTTTACTGGTCTTGAGTAGATGCCGAGCGCGCTAGATGTGGACGCTAGATAAAGTAGCTCCCATGTTTAGATGTTTACATTTTGTTGGCCTGTGTGCCTAGATAAGTGGCCTATGTGCCTAGACTAGTAGCCTGTGTGCCTAGACTTATGCCGCTTGATGATTTTGGTAGTTTTTAGCCTGTGCACCCTTGGTTTATGGGTGCGACATAACATCTCTCCGATTTTGTTTAGCTTCCGTTGTTGTTTGCCTTAATGATTAGTTGTTTATCGTTTGAATTTAAGTTTCAAATGGTTGGTAAAATCGCGGGTGTTACAAGGTGCCTGCTTAAGCTCGTATAGAGAGCGCTGAAGCAGACACACATGACCAGACAGTGTCTTGTCCTCATTGCCAGGAGGTTGGCGCATATACACAGTTTCAGCCAACTTTCCATTCAAGAAATGCATTGTGGATGTCCAGTTGACGAATGGTCCACCCACGAGAAATAGCTAAGGATAATAGGAGACGTATCGTAGTCGGCTCAACCACAGGACTAAAAGTCTCAAAGAAGTCCTCTCCGGCAACCTGATTAAATCCTTTACCAACCAACCGAGCTTTATGAAACTCAATCAAACCACCTGCCTTTCTCTTGGTTCTAAAGACCCACTTGCAACCCACAACATTCATACCGGATTCAAAGGGAACAATACGCCATGTATCATTCTGAACCAATGCATTAAATTCTGAATCCATTGCATCACGCCACTCTGGAAACTTGACTGCCTGAGAGTAACAAGTCGGTTCGGGCATAACGGTAGAGGCCAAGGCGACATGCTCATGCGGACCCGTACTCCAAGTGGCCATACCATGCGACCGAGAAGCAGCCACAGCCGCGCCACGCCGAGACAATCCTCTCAGCCTGCCACGTTGCTGAGTGGGCTGGTCTGAGACAATCCGCTCACTGGATGCGGACTGCTCGGCACCACCCGCGGCAGCCGCAACAGGCTCGGCGCTGGTATCATCACCGCCCGAAGAACCGGCCAAGGTACCACGATCCGGTATCCGAACTGCTGCAACACCCCATGGTTCAGGACAGGGCCGAGTCACCTGCGAAGAAACAGGAGCAATAAATGGGAAAACAGTCTCATCAAATCGCACGTGGCGACAGATAAAAACCTTGTTAGTGTTAGTATCCAGACAACGATAGCCACGATAAGACGAAGGATAACCTAGAAAAAATCAAGGAGACGAACGAAACTAAAGTTTATTGCGATTATATGGACGTAAGACAGGAAAGCACAAACAACCAAATACCCGCAAGTAAGAATAGGATGGGGGAGAACGATGCAAACGAAAGTGCGGTGACTCATCAGATAAGACACAAGTAGGCATTTTATTTATAAGATAGATAGTGGTCTCAAACGCGTAGTCCCAAAAACGAGATGGAACAGAAGCATGAGCCATTAAAGACAAACCTGTCTCAACAACGTGACGGTGCTTGCACTCTACCCGACCATTCTGCTCGCGAGTATGCGCACATGATTGCCTGTGACGAATAACCAGAGAAGCATGTGTGGAACCGAGCTTTTTATATTCTCCCTCTAAATCAAACTGAAAAGAAATAATCTTGCGAGAAAAAAAAACATTCAACAAGTAACCGAAACTTATCAAATATGCCATATAAGTCAGTTTTAGAACGCATCGGATAATACAACATGTATCGAGTATAATCATCCACAAACAAAACAAAATATTTGAAGCCATTCGCAGAAGTAAAGGCGCAGGGCCCCAAATATCTGAATATATTAATTCTAACGGATGCGTACTAGTAGTTTCAACACGAGACAGAGGAAAAAGAGAAGATTTTCCCAATTGAAAAGACGAGCAAACATTGGGAAGATCTCTAGAATTAAAAGTA